TATTTAGGTCCTTAGGGATTTGTCACTGGGGTCTTCTGTTTTAGGGAGCAACTGTTCATGTGTGGGGACCAAATGACAGGTCAGTCTATGAGAAGTTTCCTCTGGGAGGTGAGGAGGTACCACATTGTTCTAGAATTGTGAGGCTCACAGTTTCCTCCCTGTCTCCTTTTTTTAATCCTTTGATGTGTGTTGCTAGTTGGTTTTTATTTATTCACCCATTTTATTTTTTGAAATTATAATATGATTACAATATTTCTCCCTTCCCCTTCCTCCCTCCAAGCCCTCCTATATATAGGCCCTCATGCTCTCTTTCAAATTCATGACCTCTTTTTTCACTGATTGTTATTGCATGCATACATGTATATTCATAAACATATGTATTCCTAAATATAACCTATCCAGTCTGTATAATGCTACTTGTATGTATGCTTTCAGGACTGGCAGGTTGGCACTGGACAACCAATTGGTGTACTCATCCCTAGGGAAGATCACTTCTTCCACTCCCAGCTTTGCTCAGTTGCCTATAGTTCTTTGTGTAGGGTTGAGGCCTCCCACTTCTGTTTTCCTCATGTGTGGTGAGATATTGTTTATGATTTATTAAAGCTTGCCAGAGGATTCAGAAAGCCAAGTCAGCCACAAGCCATAGAACCCAGGCACACACCTTTAATCCCAGCAGCCGGAAGCTAGCAAATTATAGAACACACCTTTAATCCTAGGACTCAGGATTAAGAAGTCATCCACGACCACCCAAATATACACAAGACTGATCCAAACCTAAAGAGAAACAGCTCACACAAAGATGATCTCAGCACTTGGGATCAAGCTGCTTTACTCCCAGCGTTAGTGGTGTATATAAAAAAGGAGCAAGGAGTCAGTTTCAGGCATTCATTTTCCAGTCACGTTGAGGATAGGAAGACATTCAGTCTCAGGATTCTCCAGCCACACTGAAGAGAGGCAGCAGGATCAACATGGTCAGACTGAGGTAGTGGTAAGAGTTAATGGCCGCTACTTTGTTTTTCTGACCTTCAGCTTGAAGTTTGAACCAAGTATCAGGCTCTGTCTGTTTGTTTTGTTTCCCTTTGTAGCCCTGGTTTGGCTGTCTTTGAACCCTCTATGTAGACTCGACTGGCTTCAAACTCAGGGATTCACCTGTCTCTGCCTCCTAAAGGCTGAGATTAAAGATGTATGTTGACACTGCCCGGCCTGGGAATGACTCTAGTTTTCCTCCTCCTTCTTGTTTGTTTTGTTTTGTTTTGAGACACGATGTCCCTGTGTAACAGCCCTGGCTGCCCTGGAACTCAATCTATAGACCAAGCTGGCCTTGAACTCAAAGAGATCCACCTGTCTCTGCCTCCCAAGTACTGGGAGGATTAAGGGTGTGAGCCACCACCACCTGCTTGAATTGTTATGTCTGCCTTGGATAGTTAGTATCTTTGTCCGGGAAGCTGAGGGAAGTTAGTCATCCTTCCTCACAAAGGTTGGAAGGGTGATCTCAAGGGCACAGTGGGGGAAAGGATACTTTTCATTATGTGAGGTCAGAGGTTACCCAAGTGTGGTCAGCTTCCTTTTCCCACTCTACTCCTCCTCAGCCTGGAAAGGGGGATTGGTAACATTCCCAGTGAAGGGCCTTCTCTTTGCAGGCCCAGTGGTAGTAACCTTGGAGTCTTTCTTCAGATTCAGAACCTCTTAGTCCCGTATACTGGATGCAGACACCCAGGCCTGGAAGCTGGTTACACTCACAGTTCAATTTCTCTGTGCAAGTAGACCAAAGAGAATGCCAGGAAATCATCTGATGAAGTTCAACACACACATTCCGGATTGAAAAGAAAACAATGTACCTAGGGTTAGGGGTGTAGCTCAGTAGCTGAGTGCCTGGCTAGTATACCCAACCCTGGATTTGTTCCCCAGTCCTGCAAAAATAACTGAAAATGAACCTTAGCAAACTAAGAGAAAAAAAGGGGGTGATAAAATATGATCACAGCCATCCTCATTTCTCTCTTTCAACTCTCAATCTCCCCTACACATCTACCTCCTAACCTCATGTCTCCCTCCTCTTCTTTTAAACCTCCTCCTCTTCTTCTTAAACCCCTAAATTCATTAGAAACCTAAAACATGAAAATTAGAAAAAAATATTCGAAAGAATGGCTTTCACTATGACATTTTCACACAGGTGTAATTGGTACTTTGCTGTGCTGTTGTCTCAACTCTTGATCTCTCCCCCCTCTGGTCCCTTTCTTCCTCTAAATCCCCTATCTGGTTTCATGTCGTGTGTGTGTGTGTGTGTGTGTGTGTGTGTGTGTGTGTGTGTGTGTGTAATATAGGGTTTTTTATATCAAAAAGAAAACATGGCTTTTTTCTGAGTCTGGCTTATTTCACCCAATATGTTAGTCTCGAGTACATCATGTCCTCTTGCAGATGACATAATTCTGTTGCTCTTCATGTTAGAATACAACTCAGTTTTGGACATATGCCACACTTTCATTGTCTATTCATCTGTTGATGAACACCAAGGCTGATTCCACAATTTAGCTATTGTGAATATTCACACAATAGGTGTGGATATGCAACTATCAGGCATCTAGTCAGGAAAGATGTAACTGTGTATTTTCAATGGTCAAATATTAGAAGTTTTCCTGGAACACATTAGGAGACTATACTCATATATATGTTTGATATGCTCCAGTGGATGGCCCACATGCTTGCACACATGGGCAGCACTAAATGAATTTAGGGGTTTAAGAAGAAGAGGAGGGGAGACATGAGGTTAGGAGGTAGATATGTATGGGAGATCGAGAATTGAAAGACAGAAATGAGGATGGGTGTGATCATATTTTATTATATACACATATGAGATCCTAAAATTATATATGTATATAAATCACATATATAATTCCATATATGAACAGGAAACATACCATCATTTGTAAATGCAATGATATATGTATAAAACATAAAAGAGTCACCTGAATTGAACGTATTAAAGGAAAAATAAGAATCTAAAAAGCTGGTAGGTTATAAGATAGGTTATAAGGTTTAAAAAACGTGCTTTCCCTGAAACCAGCAATATCTCACTAAAAATGTGTCCAAAAAATTATAGTAACAATAACAAGTAATGCTATAAAAAATAGGCCTAAAGTCGGGTGTTGGTGGCACATGCCTTTAATCCCAGCACTCAGAAGGCAGAGGCAGGTGGATCTCTGTGAGTTTGAGGCCAGCCTGGTTTACAGAGTGAGTGCCAGGACAGGCTCCAAAGCTACACAGAGAAACCCTGTCTTGAAACCCCCCCCCAAAAAAGGCCTAATAGGAAAGTGTAGCAATGTCAACTTTTAGAGCTTTAGACTGTTGATCTATAAAACTGGGAATATATGTTTCTTTTTCTTGCTCTTTGATGTCAGGAAGCCCTCAACACCTTGTATGTTGAGTCCTAAGCACAGGGTAGATGGATGTAAGCTTACAGCTAATGTTCATGAAACTGTAAGCAACATTTCTCTATCTGGCTTTGTCCTGGGCTTCCTTCTGTGCAAAAAAAAAGATGGAAATGCAGAGACAGTGTCAGAAGGTGGAATCACAGGAGCTTTCTAGAGATAAGATGTATAGGCGGCTACCCCCTCAAGGCATAGTTACACCACCATAGATACCTGGAGTGAGGATCATGGTCCCATTGCACATAGCTGAGACTAGAGTGGGTCACATAATCCCCTTCATGCATTTGAGACAGGGATGACTTATAGAAACCTGCACCTTGTGTCCCACCTTCACCCACAGCACAGCAGAAACCATGCAGATGTCTGAGTAAGGATGGAAAAGATGATGTCCCTCCCCAGCATGGACCGCATGAGCTCAGACCTGGAGTTATTTTGACACCAGCCATCAGCATTGATGTCATGTTCTTCCAGATACCTCTTTAGCCCCAGTGCCTCTAATTTGGTTCTACAACATCTTGTAAAGATTAAATTATATCTGATGACAAATGTTATCAGTGATTGTCAAAGTACTTGGTATGCAGCTTGTGACCAACAGTCTTTGCTGTAGTAATTGATATGGGTAATAATGTTGGTAGGTAGAGTACTTGTAATAATTACTTTATTTCCATCACACAGATGAAGAAATAGGCTCAAAGAAAATAGTTATCCCCAGGGCTCGCCAGAAGACAACCTAACATGTAGAACATAGTTGATTTTAACAAAGTAGCTGATTGAGCTAATGAGAAGAAAACAATGCAGTTGGTGATATGCATGCCTCAGTGATATGAAGTGGAGTGAGGCTGTGTCCGTTAGCAGGAAATTACCAGAGTTAGGGTCTAGGGTAGAGGGGTTGTTCTCTTAAAAATCCAGGGTGGCTGTGGTTAGGTCAAGAGGCTAAATTGGCACCATCAGATCCATGGGGGCTATACATTGTCAACTAGGGAAGTTGTGTACCACCAGTATTATGCTGTGGTGCTCCCTACCAGGCTTCCTGACTTGCGTGAGACCATGTTTGCCTTGAAAGCATGGGTGCAAATGACACTGAATGAAGCTTAGCTCCACACACCAAGCATTTCCCAGAAGTCCCCTATATCTATCTTTATGTTTAACCTGGATTTCTAAATCTTGGGGCGGTGAAAGGGTGATCTACTAGATAGAAGGGGGAGGGGCAGGCACTTTTTTGTAATTTAGAGGGTCCTACCATGCTGGGACCTCATGTACATCATTTATAAATGAAGAAACTGGACAAGTTGAGGAAAAGGGAAGTCTCCATCTCATTGTAAAGGGCAAGGTTGGCAGTGGCTGCCTTGAGTGAGTCCTCAGAAGGGACTCTAGGGGGACTTTCAGGATGTGCTAATGTGTATGGAGAAGAGTTTGGGCTCATGTGGGAGATGGAATGACTAAGAATGGTGCTAATTCTAACAGCCACAAAAAAATTTGGTTGGAGGGAGTTGAAGCATCCTACAGATCAGATGGATCATCAGGATAGAGGCTAAAAGATAACGTGGGATTTTATCTGTTTATCTAAGTGCTTGATCAAAATTCACAAATGGCCAGCCGGTATTGCAGGCAATTCTTGTCATTCCATTGTCCATCTGTATACATTTCTACACACTTCTCTTTGCCTCTACCCCTGGGCTCTCCTGGGTACCAGTTGGTGTAGTTCACAGAAGCCCCATCCAAGTATCGGAAGTCTCCAGGGGTCTGGTCTTCAACCATGCCCAAGTAAGCATAGGTGTTGTGCTTGTTCACGATGCTTGAGATGGCCTCATTCTCCTCTGGACTCCTTGGGACAGCAATGTTTCCACCTGCTCTGATACACGTCTCTCTAATGGTATCAAAGTTGACTGACTGCCCATTGGTGGAGAAAACTTTCTCTCCCACTGACAACATGGATCCGTGCAAGCTGAGGACTGAGCAGAGAAGCCTAGATTAGGCCACTACCGTCTGATTGTCCATCCCCTCCATTGACTTAGGCTATTGCCCTTAAGTTTTCTCCATAATCTCTCCATCCCTGCCTTTCTCTGTGTTTTTCTTTCTTCTTCCAGGCCTAGTTTTAAAGTCCATCTCTGTGTTCTCATATACCTAACAATTACTTATTGCCTGAATCTGCAATTTCATGCTTTCCAATATTTCTGAGAGCAAATCCAAGCTCACTTCTGTGTCCTTGAGGTTATTTAAAGACAGGAGAAAAGGAAAGCATCTTTCCTTTCTCCAAAGACCCATGTCTGCACTTACTTGTCAGGCATTTAGACTGTAGGTTATGGCACTGGAGATTACAGGGGAACATTGAGAGGTCTGTGCTTGGTGACACCCCAAACAGTCCCTTACCTCCCATCACTTGCAGGATCTTGTGTCTGATCTCTTGGAGTTCAGTCTGAAGTTCCTCATCCAGGTAAGCTGAAAACCCTGTAGAAACCACGCATATCCAGGATGGGGACAAGCCAGCAAAGAGCTCCACTTGCTACCAAGCAGGTATTCTGCCAGCTACAAGACTGGAATTCTGTCATCTAATGCTGTGCCTAGAGCCCAGGCCCTAGTTAAAGGGTCCAGGAGCAGAGCTTCCTTCTACCTACACACACATTTCTTAATGTAGCCTTGAGACTGCTCTACTTTCCTGTATCCCTTGGCTGCCCCTGAATGCCCATCTGTGTGGTTTTCTGACTTATGAGAATGACCCATCCCATTCATTCTATCAAGACCAACAAACAATAATGACCTCTGAACTCTCCTGATGGGTCACTATATTGATTTGTACCCTGGAACTTCTGTCAGCAAGTGGGATTCCTGATCACACTGTCTGCCTAGATTGCAAGTTCATATAAGCCTGCATACCTTGTAAGATGCCCCAGAAAATTCTCCCTAAGAAGGACCCCTAGGCCCCCCAGTGCTGCTCCCCTTTCCTTATAGGACACTATTCGTCTCTCTGTCTGCAGCTGAGATGCTTGTCACTCTCTGAAACATCTTATTCAAACCCCTACAGTTTCTAAACTTCCTATTTTCTGACTTAGGCTGAGCCATATGCCTTGGACCCTCCCTACCATCCCTCATATGGCTGCCATGCTGTACCACATCACCACTGACTACTGCCCCCAACCTACTCACCTGGAAGACCCCTCTCTCCAGGCTCTCCCTTGTCTCCATGTTCTCCAGGTGCACCAGGTGCTCCAGGCAGCCCATCACGCCCAGGAAGACCTGGCATGCCTCCAGGGGGGCCCATGGGACCTACAGAGTGAAGAGGTTACAGATATACGGACCTGCATTAGCATGTGGGTGACTCACTTGCCTCTCCACCAGAACTTTGAAGACACATGCTCCAGCCTAAGGGCTTCAGAAAAGCCCCATCAGCTAGTGCCCTGGATAGGATGACTCTCCTAAAAACAGGTCCCTGTCCCTGAGCTAAGGGTGGGTACTTCCATACAGTACCTGGAGGTCCAGGGTCTCCTTTGACACCATCTCTCCCATCTCTGCCGGGCAGGCCATGGTTTCCAGGAGTGCCGGGGATACCAGGGCTTCCGGCACACACTTCTGTCCCATTGCACTTGATACCAGCAACAACAGTCAAGAAAATGGCAAAGGCCAATGAACACAGTGACATGGCTACTGCACCAGTGGCTTCTCCTGCAGGAGGGAAGGGCTACCAGCCCGTGAGTAGTATTAGCATGGCTCTCTTCTGCCTCCCACCCCATTCTTGCTACACTTTCCATGACAGACAAGCAAGTACAGTCAAGAGTACCAAGAAGACCCAAACTATGCCCAGTTGGAAATCCCCAGCACCATCCGATGTCTAACACAGCCTCACACTCCAGCCCCCCAGCTTCAGATATATGCTGGTCAGAGAAGGAGAGCTCAGGAGAGTCAGAGGCTTGAGTCTTCACAGAGGCTCTTTACTGCTATAACCCCACTGTGTAGCCCTGGTGGACTCACTGTACCTCTCTGATCTTAGCTGACCCTGGTGTATCTGTAGATAATCCCAATCGGGTTGTCTGCTAGAAAGTGTGTGTGTGTAGAAGTAAACTCACCACTTTACTACATCTGTCCCTCAATATTTTAAGTAACTCTGTTTGGGGTTCTCAGGAATCAGAGAGCCAAGAATAAACACAAGATAAAAAGAGATGAGCAGGGTTTGTGGTCCTGCTAAAATGTCAATGGTAAGTACTACCTTCCTGCCCAGTAAGCCCTTAATTAGGTATGTGGATCTTACCTCCAAAAACCCAAACACTAGAGGATACCCAAGGGCTGGTGGCCAAGCTCACTCACACACAGAGCCTGCAGGATGTATGGACGTCTGCCTCCAACTCAGAGTGGACATGTGGACAGCATCACTTATAGCTGTGTAGCCTGCAAGCTTTCCCCACCCTCTGAGCCAGGATCACAAGGGAGGGCCTGGCAGGAAGCAGCCATCTTGTTTACACAGCTCAGTTTCCTTCAGAGCACTTCACAAGAAAAGCACTTAGAACCCTTGAGGGGAGCACAAAATCTGCAGAAGGCAAACTGCAGGTGTGTGGGAAGGGAATCTTTCTCTTGTCTAGGTCACCCTCTATTCTGAATTAACACTATTGGCTAGCAGTACAGAATGAAAGTCTTTACACAGGTTCTGATGGAGATCCATCACCACTCAGAAAAGAAACAAACCACCAGAACAAACCAGATTTAATACAAAAATATGAGAAAGTCCAGCCACTCTACCACCCACCAATAGCCATAGAAAAGAAGCAGAGAGGAAACTATGATGCTGAAAATTAATAAAGGTATCAGGAGTAAATAGCAAGGAGATTAAATAAAGGAGCATCAGGGAAAAGAAAAATGAAGCAAGGTTAAATAAAAAAAAAATGTGGGGGAGAAAGAAGAGAAGAGAAGAGGAAAGAAACAGACCAAAACAAAAAAAAAAATCTATTTACAAAACAAAACAAAAAAAACATGAAATTACATAAAGGTAAAAGGGGGAATGAAAGAATTTTAAAATGTTTTTCAGAATAAAATAAAGCACAAAACAAGGGCTGAAAGTGTGGCCCAGTGAGTGAAGGGCTTCCTGTGCAAGTGCGAGCGCCTGAGATTGCAGCCACGGAACAGCAGCAAGGAAGGCCCAGTGGCACTTTGTGGTCCCAGCTGTCCTCTGTCCAGATGGAAAGTGGATACAGGAGAACCCCCTGAATCTTCTAGTCAGCTAACCTGGCGTGCACAGTGGCAACCCAGACCCTGTATGAAACAAGGCAGAAGGCAAGGACTGACACTTAGTTATCCTCCAGCCTCTCCACATGTGTGCAGCGCCACATGCGTGTTCACATTCACACACATGGATGTGCAAAGAAGATATAGAAACAGCCATGTATCCATTAAAAGGGAGTCAACACCTTGTCAAGCACAGAAATACAAAGTAACACTATAACAAGCAAAAGGAAGACTGGCAAGTGCTGAGCACATGAAGAAACTTCTCAGCTCAGGCACTTCTAGTTGAATGGAAAATAGTACAGTGGTTTTGGAAGACACCTTGGGAGTTCCTCATATTAAACAAGTGATTATTCTTATGCTGCAGCAATTAAATTCCTAGCTTTATACCTAAAATAATTGAAAATAGGTATTCCAAAACTTGTACACAGCTGTTCAGATCAAAAGGTATAAATAGCCCCAGTATTTATTCATGACTCACCGATGAGCAAACAAAAAGTGATGGAACATCATTTAACCATAAGAAAGAATAGAGATAAGGATATTGCTGTAGTATGGATAAACCTTAAAAAGCATTTTGTCAAATGAAAGGCACAGAAACAATATATTGAATTATTCTAATCATATTAAATATTGAAAGTAGGCAAATCATTGCTAAAGATAGAGAAACTGAGAGTGACTATTTAATATAGGGTTTCCTGGGGGAAAGATAAAAATACTCTGGAATTAACTTTGGAAGTCAATGTGGCAGTTTCTCAGAAAACTGGAAATCAATCTACCTCAAGACCCAGCTATACCACTCCTGGGCATATACCCAAAGGATGCTCAACCACACCACAAGGACACTTACTCAACCATGTTCATAGCAGCTTTATTGATAAGAGCAAGAACCTGGAAACAACCCCAGTGTCCCTCAATTGAAGAATAGATAAAGAAAATGTGGTCCATTTATATAGTGGAGTACTACTCAGATGTGAAAAAAAAAAAAAAAAAAAAAAACACACAAAAAAAACGACATCATAAAATTTGAGGGCAAATGGATGGAACCAGAGAAAATCATCCTAAGTGAGGTAACCTAGACCCAGACAGACAAACACAGAATGCACTCACTTGTAAGTGGATATTAGATGTACAGTAAAGGATAAACATGCTATAATCTACCTACCAAAAGAGGCTAGGTAGCAACGAGGACCCAAGAGGGTACACATGGATCTCCCTGGCAAGGGGAAATAGAAGAGATCTCATGGGTGGGCTAGGGGAGGGTGGGGATGGGAACATGAGGGATAGGGTTGGGGATGGATGGAGGAGGAGAGTACTGAAAGAGATGACTGGAAAGTGGAGGGGGGCATCTCAGATTCAGATAGAAACCTGGTGCAAGGGGAACTCCCAGGAATCTACAAGAATGACCCCAGCTAAAACTCCTAGCTTGCTGCTACATGTTCTTACTGTATTTGGCGTGGTGTGATTACTGTGTGAAAGAGCCCACTGTATCTAGAATAGTGTGATTGTTTCTTGGGAAAATCCCACTACTCACTATGCAATTTACTCACAGATCATAATGAAGATGATTTTTATAAGAACAATGATGACTAGAACTATGATTTAACTGGACTGTCTGAGTCAGTCTAAAAGATACAGGTGTTTAGGACAGTTAGTAAAGATGATTAGGGACATGATTTAGGTTATTCTGCCAATTGTTCCAATAAGAGATGCAAAAAAAAAAAAAAGCAAAAAAAAAAAAACCCAAACTGGACATTACCTTCACTTTTGTTAGATATGAGATTTGCAGAGGATGAAAAATAAGAACAAGGAAGTTTCATGCATTATAGACCCATGGATTCTACCTGTGGAGAAACAGGCTGATGGCCAAAGAAAGCAATTATGTCCCTACACCCAAGGTTAGGCCTGAGTTCCTTGATCGTATAAATTACAGAATTAATCACAGGCCTCGGTATACACCTTGAAAAAACAAAGTTGTAAAAGGAAATTCAATGACCCTATTGTGAGTAAAGGAAAATGATGAATTGACCACTCATGCAAGGTTTCTCTGGAGTGGAGTTAAGAATAGAAATCTGTTACACTGAAATGGCAAACAGCCGCCTGCCAGCACAAAAGGAACTGGCTGAAATATACTTGGTTTGCTTAAAACGTTGCTAATCAGGTATAAAAGAATCATTGCTTTGGGGTGAAGATGTTATGGTGGGAAAATTAATACAAAGAAAAATGTTCAAATACTTGTGGGCTTCTGAGGAAAGCATGTGACTTGTGACCTTAATGCGTTTTCTTCCTGTGTGAAGACTTTAATTTGCTTTTGGAAAATATGTAACTTGTGGTTATGAGGTAATCTTTTCTTGCATACAAATCTTTGTCCTGGGTGGTATAAAAGGGATAAGAGAAAAAAATAAAATGTTTAGTAAAAAAGATGCCGAAGGAGAACAACTGCAAAGAAAACCACCAAGAGGGCAAAAGAACAGAACAGAGTGGGAAGAACAACCCTCAGAGAGAAAAATAAAATGAAGAATTAAGCTTTCGCCCTCAAATAAGTGTGTGTCTGTGCATCTATTCCAATAGTTCACCTATCCACGTCTCCTCTCCAGTCTCTCTGACCTGCTGCATGCTGGGCCCCCTGGCTGCAGTAGCCTACCAACAACTGGTACAGTTTGAGACCCAAGCCAGGAGAGTGAGCCCACCCCTAACACTGCCTGGGGTGTTAGGACCCAGAGGCTGGATGACCCAGAGACATAGGATAGAACTAAGCACAACTGGAAAGGAACAAAAAAAATTCAGCATGATAATGCCTAATGACATTCTGCTTTGCTAACAGATTGGTGACTACCTTAATTGTCATCAGAGAGCCTTCATCCAGTAACTGATGGAAACAGATGCAGAGACCCAGAGCCAAACATTAAGCCAAGCTCAGGAAATCTTGCTGAAGACAGGGAAGAAGGATTGTACAAGCCAAAATGGTCAAGAATGCCACAAGGAAACCCACAGAAACAACTAACCTGGGCTCATGGGGGCTCACAGAGACTGAACCAACAACCAGGCAATCTGCATGGGACAGACCTAGGCCCTCTAATATATGTGGCAGTTGTGTAGCTTGGTCTAATTGTGGGATTCCTAACACTGGGATCAGGGGTTGTCCCTAACACTTTGGCTGGCTTTTGGGAACCTATTCCTCACACTGGGTTGCGTTGCCCAACATCAATACAAGGGAGGTGCTTAGTCTTACCACAACTTGATATGCCATGGGAGGCCTGCCCTTTTTGAAACAGAAACAGAGGAAGAGTGGATTGGGGGAGGCAGGCTGGCAGGAGGGAACAAGAAGAGAGAAGGGACGGGAAACTGGGGTCAGGGTGCAAAATAAATAAATAAATAAACTTAATTTAAAAATATTCAGGAATTAGATAATGGTAGTGACACATGTAA